CTTATGTATGCACCCTCCACTTTGACTTACAAAATACAGTCAAACCTGCTTTAGTGACTACCTGTCTACAAAGACCACATTTTTTGTTTCCCTTAAAAATTGTTTCTCATTGAAACATGTACTAAAGGAACCTGTCTACAAAGACCACTTTTTGTGTTTTCCTTGGGTGGTCGCTATAGACAGGTTTGAATGAACAAAGAAATTATTACCGGTAATACGAATCTTACATGGATCCTTTGAGTTCTTTGGATGTCTCACAACTCCATTTATTCATAAGAGTGATTGCTATTTTACTATATAATCTAATGAAAGCAAGAATCATTTGGTACTCACGCTGCTGGTAGCTTTTGTTCCATCGTGAGCCCGTGTGCAGCTGCTGCGATTCCTGCCTAAACTTTGTGGCCTCGGAGAAACCGCGCCCATCTCCCCCTCTTCCTCCCCCTCCTCCGCCTCCGTCACTCTCCCCACTTACCTGTGCCTGGGATTGGTGTGGCGGGTTGGCGGAGGAGGTCTTGGACGAGGGGGGCGGCAGCGGGGGCGGGGGTGAAGGGGTGGGTTTGCCCAGTAGTGAAAGGGGAGGGGCGGGAGGAGGTGGTGGGGGGCCCTGTGCCATGGGTCCTCTGGGACGTTGCGGGGGGAAGCCTGGTCCTCCGTGGTCACCGAAAGGAGGTCGAGGCCTGTACGTTGGATACATACCCTGTTGTAAAAAAAAATCAAAAAAAGAGTTTGAATCTTCAGAGGAAAACTGCATTTAACTTGTACAAGGCAAAGATCAGTGATCAGCTGCAAATGCATTAACATCAACATCTATGTCCAGTACAGTAAACAAATCATATTTTTGGGTCACTCTTCACATGTTAGACATATAAACATATATTCTGAGGACAACGAATTAGTTAACAATCAACAGATCGCTTCTTACAAATATATTCATATTTTACCAATTAATCTCTTATAATTAATCGGTGACACGACATTTGCTCCTGCGACAATTGCTCCGGGCTTTATTTCGTCTAAGATGTAGGGTTAGGGTTAGGGTTTCAATAGGGTTTTATGTTAGGTTTAGGGTTAGGTTTAGGGTAGGGTATAGTGTTGAATCCAGGGTTGAAGTTAGCCATTCGATTAGTGTATGAAATTTACAGCGGAGCAATTGTCGCCGGAGCAAATGTCATGGAATCAATTAATCTCCAACTAAGATAACATGTGGCAACTTCCATACAAGCCTGAAATAGATAAAGGTGATTTATGAACAAAAACAAAAACACAAACAACAAAAGCAAACCATGCACTTCTGATTATTTAAATATACTTACATGTACAAGTGGATGCAAAAGTTGAATGCAACATATTCAGATTTGTTTAAAGATTGTAATTACCAAAGTAGAGACTAATTTCTGTCCCTTTTTACTTACCCCTGGGGGTCGAGGGTAGCCATGCATGCCTTGGAAGCCTGGGCCTCCTCTCATGTGGGGAGGGGGTGCCGGCGGCATGCCATAACCTGGGCCTGGGCCGTATCCTGGGTAGGTTGGGTACATCCCTCCTCCTCCCCTTCCTCCATACTGCTGACCATAATAATTACCTTCAATGGGAAAAAAAGGGAAGAAAAAAGCACAATATAATTCATGTTTTATTAAAGACAGCAGTCCTTGCATTGTCAGAGCTGCCAACCTCCAGAACAGAAAATCAGTAATCACAAGGCTCAAAATCAGTAATTTTGGGTATAAATCAGTAATTTCCTATGCGGCGCTATGACTCTAATAAAAACGGCACGCCAACGTTGCACAGAAATATGATTATCTGAAATTTTTGGTGATTTTACTCACACAAAGTTGTTAAATAATGAGTTTCATATCATCACAACACAGTCTTCCAGGAAAAATGGGGGGGGGATATTAAAAAAAAAAAAAAAAAAAAAAAAAAAAAAAAAAAAAAAAAAAAAAAAAAAAAAAAAAAAAAAAAATCCGTAATTTTAAACAACATTCCGTAATGGTCGTTAATTTCCGTACCAATTACGGGAAATCCGTACTAGTTGGCAGCTCTGCATTGTGCAATACTAACTGAAATTCTATTAATCTGTATTAAAGAGTGTTGCCAAGAATGAGGCAAAAATTAAAATTCATAAGCCTACTATACCCTTTTCTAACTGCACTGATTTTCATCGGATGCATCCGGACGCATCCGATGAAACAGCCAGTTAGAAAGCAACAGAGGAGAAAAAGGCGATTAAATAGCCGATGAAAAGAAGAGAAATAGGCGATTAAATTCTCCTGCTCAAGAGCAGAAGAAATTCTCATTCTATCGGTGTGACATCGATGAAACTGCCAGTTAGAAAACGTTCGGGAGAAAAAGGCGATTAAAACAGCGATTAAAATGGTCAAAAGTCGCAGTATACACGCGCTTTATCGTAACCAGCTGTGTTTGTTGACTTATGGTTGAACATGCTGTATGCTAGCTAGATGGAGCGCTGCCTAATAATTATGCAATAATTCTTCACTTCCAGCAAGGGCTCGTCACAGCGAGCGAATTTCAGCGGCAGTTAGAAAACAACATGGGGAAAACTGCGGTTTCACCTTTGTTTACATAAGGAAAATTCAATCGGTATTTTCATGGGTGTGACTCCAGCCAGTCTAACTCTTTAGTTACAACCAACTCTAAATCAAGCTTAAAACAGCGTCAGTTAAAATTTGAAGTAGTATGTGAGCCATCTAGACTTTCAGTTGGTAATGTACATTACATGAAACCTAGCCCTAAGTCCTTGATGAAAAAAGGCCCAAAGCAAAAAGGTGGCCAGTGCCCCCGTCTTAAAAAGACTTAAAAAGTCCTCCAATCAATCGTAAGTTTGCAGTCTCTAAATCTTTTATGTACATAGTTGCGTTTGATATCAACTCTTTGTAAGATTGGGCCCAGGGCATGTTGCCAGAGAAAATTGTCCAATGACCTACCATACATATTCATCTGATTCTGATGTTGCTGGCTCATGAAGTCTGGTGCTTCCTGAGGTGTGGGTTCTTTCTGTTTTGGGCTCTTGTTTTCCCCATCCACTTTCTTCTTCTCCGGTGAGGTCTTGCTCTCCTTCCCGCTTCCTTCTGCAGAAGACCCAGCCTCCCCAGAGCTGTCGCCAAGTTTTTCCAGTGCCTTACGGGCTATGTCCCAGGCTGTTTGAGGTCCTGGGGGTGCCGGGGCTGCTCCATACTGCTGCGACCTGAAAATGATGATGAGAATTTGACATACAGAATGATAATAGGGTGTCTGAAAGAATTTTCAATTTTACTGTTTTTCACCATTATGGTTGAATAATTGAAAAAAAACATATAATCAGAATAAATTTCAAGACTCACCTATGTTTCTATAAAAAAAAATACAGCCCCCCAGAATCTAGGCAATATTCGTCCGCATTTTGTCAGAATTGACGAAAAAGACGTACACGCAGGGTTATCTTGTTTTGCTAAATTTAGCAAAACAGCGGCATTGCGCAATATGCAAGGGTATGCGTGCAAGCGAACGTGTGTTGCTTAGCTGCATGCGCTACTTGAGCATGATCGCAAGCTCCACCTCCACCTATTCGCCAATACACAAACACACACGCGGTCCAAATTGCATAAGCAAGTGCAGATTCTTTGCGCTGTCGCCATGGGTTTGGGCTGAGCAGCGCTCACGCTTCCCTATTTACCTGATCCGAAAAATGGGGGGAACAGTATTTTCAAACTGTAATAACTTTTGATCCCTTGGGGCTAGAGAAAAAACAAGCGCATGGATAGGCAAATTCATGCAAAAAAATATATTCAAAAAATTGACTTGAAAACACATCAGACAATTAGTCTGAACCGAGTCAGGAGCAAATTTGAAGAAATTATATTTTTAAATGTTGTAAAACCAAAGATATAAGAAGAAAACTGACCAAGTATCTGTACTAAAAATCGTACATGTAAAATTGGTCGTAGACATTCGACAGCTGAAAATGACGCGCACGCTTGCGTTACGTGTGTTCTCAAATCCTAAATCGTACCCCACACACACACACTCTCGCCATACCGCGAATGGTCTGTCGTGGGGAGCTAGCCGGCTGAGAGTTTGCCAGCGATACTAACGCACCTTCGGAGCTCCGCAGCGCGCCATTTTAGCGGAACTCAAAAGGTTCGAGGTGGGAAAGTGGCGGGCTAGCTTTTTGCCAAAACAACGCTAGATCGTCTGCTGGCAAAGTGAAAATAACTACAATCGAGAACATCGTCGGTTTCTTAACTTTTCAGTGAGATAATTCTGAATTCTAATTGAGACTATATAATAAATTAAATTGACAAAGAAACCTTGGTAGATCTCTTATAACTATACAAAAGCTTGTTTATTTCTTCATTTGACATTTGTTTTCGAGCCATTTTTTTGTGCCCGAGTCAATGCAAACTATGTATTACCAAACTTTCAACACGCAAGGAACGGGGAACACTCACGGACCTCGTATCAAATTCGTTGCAAAAAAAAAATTCAAGAGTGATTTTGAAGCAGTGAAGAAAATTGGCGCTGCGATGCACAGAAATATACTTGAAAGAAACTTTAAAAATCACAACTGTTTTTTCAGAAAATCATATTTGTATTACCGTACCTTGATTTGATTTGATTTGATTTGATTTGATTTGATTTATTTACCAACAGCAATACATATTCATACATTTTATACAATAATTACATTTACAGGAAGAGAAACTATTGGTTGGTAAAAAGGGGCCAGATAATAGCACATGTGCTAGTCGAGCCTAACCCCTTAAACAACTAAACAAAGTATTTTGGTACAAATCAGTTTAGAGAATGTAACAAAACAAAAAATAATTAATTTACTTTTACAATCGATGCTTTAAAAAAACAAAAAACAAGAATCAGTACTCAATAATGTCTTACAATATACAAACTAATAATGTAAAATATGAATTATGAATTGTGTACACTTGATATTTCATTCATGACTTGTTCAACAAATGACTTGTAACAGAATTCCGAAACCTATTTCTAGACCTTGTCAATCTGACATCAACAGGTAATCTATTCCAAAATTCACTGCCCACAAAAGACAATGAAAATTGACCTTGTGTCGTTCTTAATTTTGGAAGACGTAATTGTTCAACAAATGACTTGTAACAGAATTCCGAAACCTATTTCTAGACCTTGTCAATCTGACATCAACAGGTAATCTATTCCAAAATTCACTGCCCACAAAAGACAATGAAAATTGACCTTGTGTCGTTCTTAATTTTGGAAGACGTAATTGTCCATCTTCTTTTTGTCTTGTGGAAAAGCTATGTTCTATAATGTCACAGTACTCTATCAAAATATGAGGCAAATTGCCATTGAATAGATCAAACATGAAAGTAGAAATGGATAAATTATGTAAATTATACACATTTAGGATTCGCAATCTTTTACATGTAAATAATGGATCTGAAGGAGTTCTCCATTCACTAAATGTTATGGCACGAACTGCCATTTTCTGTGAATATAATATACTTCTAAGATTAGTCTTATAAGTGCTTCCCCACACCTCTATTCCGTAAGAAATGTGTGGTTGTATAAATGCTTTATATAATAATATCAGAGTACGAATAGGAACAAAATGTCACAATCTAAATAGCACTCCAACTTTCTTTCTAATACACTGATTTACAAAACGAATATGACTCTTCCAAGACAAATGTCTATCAATGTGAACCCCAACAAAAGTGGCAACATCAACCTCTTTAATTTCCTCACCAGCGATTTTTAGTTTACCATTTATACCTATTTTTTTCCTTCTACTACATATTAACATGAAATTAGTTTTCATTGAATTAATTGTAAGTTTGTTAGCAGTGCACCACTTATGTATCTTCTGTATGTTGTCATTCACTTCATTTACATCAATTTCACCCTGGTCAGCAGAAAAAGTATGAAATAGATTGGAGTAATCGGCAAACAGCCGAAAATTGAAATAATCAGTAACAGTTGGCAAATCATTTATATAGATTAAAAACAGAGTTGGCCCTAATACTGATCCTTGTGGAACACCACATCTTATCCTTTTCCTTTCTGATAACGTTTGACCACACTGGACAAACTGAAATTGGTTACTGAGATAATCCTTTACCCATTCTAGAGGTAACCCTCGAATGCCATAACTAGATAGTTTACCTAGTAATATATTATGATTAATTGTGTCAAATGCTTTTTTAAAGTCGATGAACATACCCAGAGTTACTTTTCCCTGATCTATAGATTTCAAAGTTGAATTTATCAAGTTGATCAAAGACAATTTAGTGCTATATTTCTTTCGGAATCCATATTGATGGTAATAGAATATATCATTTTTTTCTAGAAATTGTATCAATCTGATATTTATCAATTTTTCTAAAACTTTACCGATGACAGGTAAAACCGATATTGGTCTATAATTACCTGGATCTTCTCTTGGCCCTTTTTTGTGTAGGGGAGTAACCTTTGCAATCTAGTTGTGAGTTGTTTATAACTCAGATTTTATGAAGATTTGTCAGAAAAAAATGTCAATTTTTTTCCGTTTGGTAGTCATTTCTAGGCTAATATTTAAAAAGTTGCATCAGTAATGGGCCTGATGTTTCCCTTTTTGTACTCCCATGTTATTTCTACTTATTAAACATAGGATGGTTAGAGGTAAGACCGGATAACATTATAAAAAAGATATATCCTTCCACCCATATCCAAGTTTTGGGCTGATTATTGCCGACCCACCGCAGCAAGGCCATTCAGATTTTCGTACACGCACAAAGCGCCCTCTAGTGCCCCATGAATGTCCCTAGCATTGATAGATTCCTTAAGAATGGGACTACTTATCTGTCGAGTCATGCATATTCAGCAATTTCGAGCGAATGGCGCTCTAATAGTCTATCATGAATATTCATATTTGCTCCGCCGCTACCGCGCATGCGTACTTTCTCTTTGCCATGTTGAATTGAAGATACAACAAGGATGAATCGTCGGGTTAGGACGAAGAATCACCCTTTTTCCCATCAAAGACTTCTTCAAGTTCTTATTATAATTTCAAGTGGTTGGAAAGATGCCCAGAGGAGTAAAAAAAAACATTGTAAGCAGTAGAGTAAAGGAGCCCGTTTTCGGCCACTTAAGACAAAATCCTATTTTTAGGACCCTTTACTTCCTATTTATTATCATTTTTTGTTCAAATCATGAAGCAAATATCATTATTATTTAAACAAAAAAAGAATCCCAGAAAAAAATCACGAATTGCCATGACAATATTCATTTCAATTTTCACTGTTTTGGAGCCAGTTATCGGCCGAGCGTTTCAGTTTACGGCCGCATGTACAAAGTCAATAGGAAGCGCTCGCGCGCGCCGTGCGTTTCCGCGCTGATGTACAGCACAAGCGGGCGGAGCAGGTATCCCACGCCGGAGCTCCCTGGTGCTCGCCTGGCCGAAGACAGGCACAGCGGTGATCGGAAGTTGGAATCTGAATTAGACAGACATATTGTTAGGGTGTCTGATCGCGCACCCAATGTTGTGTGCTAAAACCCTTCCCATAGAGATTGTACGCTTCCCTATGTGGTCTACGTGCATTGCGCGACCATCCAAAATTGGTCAATGATTTTAAGAAAAAATTTGAAATTCAAACCTTTATAACAAATGATCCTGAAGGTGAAACTCAATAAATGAGGTGTCATATGAAAGAGCAGGTTTTTCTCCATATTCCCCATAGGGGGCCACCCCCAGAATTCTAAAAATATCTTGGTCAAAACAGCGATTGAAATGTTGTTTGCATCCTAGCTCCAAAATTTGCCACTTTCCTGAGCTGCGCCCCCGCGGCTTAAGCAGGGCTAGACGTAAGGATAATATCCAGATGCTTTTTTTTATTCGCTAGCCCCAAGGGATCATTTGTTATAACAGTTTGAAAATACCCTTCCCACATTTTTGGAATCAGCTAATTAGGGAGGCGTGAGCTCCGCTCAGTCCAAACCATGGTTACATCGTAACATGTGCGCTTATAGTGAATGAAAGTATGGGTGGCCGATTCTCGCCATAGAACCCGGAAGTGAATACACGTTGTAGTCAATGGCAATATCGCGGAGATGTCTCCGCGATATTGCCATTGACTACAACGTGTATTCACTTCCGGGTTCTATGGCGGGAACGGCCACCCATACTAGTCAATGGCACATATCGCGGAGACAGCGTGGCTCAAGCTTGCAAGTCGCGCATTGGCTGAGCAACTTGCGTACGATATGCATACGCTTGCACATCGCGCGATACAGCTGTTTGGCTAAATTTAGCAAAACAACATAACTCTGCGTGTACGTCTTTTTCGTCGATTCTGAGCAAAATGCTATGAATATTTCAGCATTTTGAAGGGGCTGTATCTTTTGATAGAAACATCGGCGAGACTTGAAATTTGAAATGTATTATTCTGATTACATTTTTAATTCAAATATCAAACAAAAATGGTGAAAAACGATCCCAAATTGAAAATTGAAAAATCGTTCAGACACCCTAATATTGTGTGTGCGTGGCAGGGTTCGGCTGCATTGATTTAATACATGCAATGAGATACTTTTGAGCTTGCGACTAACACAAAATCGGGCTCTAAATCTGAAAAATACTTGAAATAAAGCTGATTTTATGGTACCCATATTTCTTACATACACGCGTAAGATACTTGATTTTTCAGATTCGGGTAGCAGGACCGCCGATTACATCGCTAAAATGTGATATTTTAGGATATATTTTTCATTGCAAATGTGGTTCTTCAGTGACACTGGCATGGTATGGTATGAGTGGGATATGTGTTATGCTATTATGCGATGTATTTTAGAGTGATTTTACCTTGCATCCAACCAATCGGCCGAAAACTGGAGCTGGCCGATTACCGGCTCCTTTACTCTAGGGGCGGGGTGCTGGTCCGGGAATGATTGTCCTCATAAATGAGGATATCCTCATAAACGCAGACAAAATGCGTCCTAAAAAATAAGGATCGTCTGCATTCTCCAGGACGTTATCTACCGTTACGGGTCAAATTTTGGATAGGTTTCTGAACAAGCGCCAAATTTGGGATAGAATCTAGGGGGCCGTTTCTCGAAACCGTCATAACTACAAGATCAACGACATCTCGCCACTGTCACGCAACTTGTCAGCTAAGTGTTTCACAAAGCCGTCTTTGCCAAGATGAGCGACAACTTCCGCGACAAGCGAGTTGTCACTGCTCCGAACCTGTCATATCTTTTTAATTGCTGTAAAGCGCCATCACAAGTCAGTTTGTTGCTATTCCATGGGCCGCAAAATGTACGATTAGTTTCACTATCATTTTGAGAAAAATATAGACGAGTTCGGTACGTAATTCTCTGGGATGCGAAATGCAAATGTAAAAAAGTGATAATACAAATTATACAGAAATGTTAAAAAGCTGAATATAAACATTAAATCACAAATCATTTAACTATAACATATAAATAAGAGAGATAAGAATGTTACACACCGTTTTCCATCGTCGATTCATAGTCTTTTCTTAGGATACCGTCATACCTTTGGGGCCTATGTGCATTATTTTTTCCTCCCTAATTACTTCTTCCAAATTATATTTTCAATATCAAATCAATTATATAACGAGTATTTATGAGACTCTAGAATAAAAACTGGCTGAGAAAAGGTATTTTGCCCAAAATTCCTCGTCACAATAAACAAAAAGTACGTATTGATAAACTATCACATTACGGTATCCTTCAACTAACTTTTCATTCGACTGTCAAAAAAAAAACACTCACCGGTTTTTCTTCAATTTAAGAATCTTTACAGAAATATGCAAATCGTTTGGTGATCTACATTTGATAATGACACTATTTATTATTTATTTTAGGAGAATTTATAGGTATATATTTCTTTTTGAACAATTTTAGCCCCAAAACTTGTTTTGGGTTATTCTTGATAAATCAAATGGATCGTGACAAAGACTATGTTCTTGAGCTGCTAGTATCGCGATATATCGATATCATGTCTGTCATGGCTTTGTGAAACGGTTTATCCGCTTCATGACATCTCCGTAGGTCGCCGACAAAGATATGACTGTCATGGAGTTGGTTTCGAGAAACGGCCCCCTAGGTTTCTGAACAAGAGCAAATTTTGGATAGGTTTCTGAACAAGCGCTGACGATGCTTATTGTAATTACTACCTCTTTACATTGTGAAAAATATGTGACCCAACCCGCTGTTACTTTCGATCGTTTTCAAAATCTGGCTCTGGAGCTCCGACGCCTTCGGCATCGCCGTCGGAGCTGCCTGGAGCTGGAGTTACCTGCTAAGTTACGGCTACATCGAGGCGGATCAACACATCACTGCACTGCCTCATCTCTCCCGGCATTTCACACACAAACGACAAACGTGCATTGCAAAGCGATCATTTCATTCAACTCACCACTGAGCAGCCTGGGCTGCAGGAGAAATTGTCCAAGGGTTGGTCGTCATCGATTGCTTGACAAATATTTATTTCAGCCACTTGATAAATTTTGAAATTTTTCAAGGATTAGATAACCAGAGTCTGCCTGCAATAGAAAAAGAAGTAATTTGGGCTTGTGTTCCGATCTGCTGCTCAAGCTCTCAACTTCTCGTCGCGATTGTATCGCTAAACAAATCGTCCTGAAAAAATTGCCCTATAGAAAATTCGGTCATCGATTTTCGCCACGCACTTTTTGAAAATTTGCGTCAAAAGAACATGATTACTTATTCGTTCTTGTCTCACTAAAACTCAAATATTTTTATTTTCTATCCATTCTGTTATAGTCCGACAAGAAAGATTGTTCTCCCCTCTCAAAATGGCTGTTGAGCTGAGTTTAGGGCCATGATTTTTAAATTAAGCGATTTTCTAGATATTTCAGAAGATGTATTATGAATAGCCTTTTTTATGTGTCTTTTAATTCCTATAAATATGGTCGTTTAACATAAATCGAGTCCCCAGGGATTTTCCAATTAGTTCCACCAAAGGCAGGTTACCCTTGCAGTGTTGGAAAGAGAGAGAGAGAGAGAGAGAGAGAGAGAGAGAGAGAGAGAGAGAGAGAGAGAGAGAGAGAGATGTGCCCCTCCCCCTCTCTTCCCCCCCCCCCCTCTCTCTCTCTCTCTTTTCTCACTCACTCTTTCGTCTCTCTCTAAATCTATCTATCTATAAATCTCTCTATTTAAATTTATATCTAAAGCCAAGGGCTGATGTTGCTTTTTTACACTATCGACAGTAACATTTCTGTCAAGTTATTTTTGAACTAATTATAATCCATCTTTCTCTGTGAAGCTTAAAGATAAACTCCAGTACTGATAAAAAAATAAAAAATAATTCTCACAGAATCAAACGAAACTTACACTGAATGTTCAAGATTACAAATAAATGACATGTGCCAAACAATTTTGGAAGAAAATGTATACTAGCTGAGTAATGAGCCAGGCGCGGATCCAGGATTTCTTAGGGGAGGGGGCCCAACTTTCTTCATTTTGGTTTGCTCCCGAAAATTGGAAAATCGCGCCGGCCGAAAAGTCGCTCAGTGGGGGGGGGGGGGGGGGGGGGGGGGGGGGGGGGGGGGGTGAGCACATTTTTTTTTTTTTTTTGGTCCTCGAAAAATTTTCAATTTGCACCCCCCCCCCCCCCTGAGCGCCAGGGGGGAGGGGGCCCAACCCCCAAAAAAGGTAAAAATCACGTGATTTTACATGATTTTTTTCTCAAGGGGGGGGGGGCCGGGCCCCCGGCCCCCCCCCCCCCCCCCCTGGATCCGCCACTGTAATGAGCATAGAAAGACAAGGAAACCAAGGTAGTACTAGCCCCGACACCATGTGTGTTGTCCCATATATAGCTTTCTATGTGAGTGCTTGTTACTTTGCCAAGACTCGGTCAAATTTATTATGATTTTGATGACTCCAGAACCTTGCAGTGCACACCAATACTTACATGCTACATGATCAACTGTTTCTGATCCTTTCCACACCTTTTCTTTCACAATGCAATCGCATTACCAGTACTAAAGTTTATCTTTAATACGCATGCACACTGGATTTATGTTGAATCATTTTCAAAATGGTAGATTAACATTTTGAACATGCTGGATCCAACAATATAAAGGTTGAATCTAGCAGGTTAAAAGTGTCAATCCGGGTATCAATCTGACATTTTGAAAAAGTAATCACTCCTCGTATGGTGATTTAAAAATTCAGTTTTTAGCGTGTTACACTTTCAATGAAATTGATGAAAACCTTCGTTGTTAATGGAGCCAAACTATATAGGATATTAAAATGTTTTCTCTGCTTTTACTTCCTCTCATGTTGTTTTCTTCCCAGAGAGAGGTGTATATTGCTGTATTTACACGGGGTGTCTTTACACCATTTTTGTTTATGACGGGGATCGAGGGGCTCGCGCTACATACCATCATACAACTGATACATAGACTAAAATGAATCGAGTCCCAAAATTGTTAAATTACAGTGCAGCCTATAAGTAACGCGATATAAGAAAAAATGACGACTGGTGAAGATTAACTTGAAATCTTATTTTAAAAATTCAGGCAGTAAACAAAAAAAGTCCCCTTTATTTCATTGCAGGGGTGGGGGTCACGCCTTAATTGATAGTCGCCTGACCGCCTCTACCAATATCACATCTTGTTTTTTCTGAACTCTCCAGAAATTGCTACTTTTCAGGCCCGGTATTTATTATTCTGCAGAGTGCAGACTGCGGCTTATATGACTGAGCAATAAACTGATGGGTATTTCATTACAGGCTTATGGGCGTCTCCTGTTTCGACATAAATTAGTATTGTTTTTGTTTGTTTAATCTCATGTTGATCAATGAAGAAATGAATAAATAAATGCAATTAATTTATGATTAAACATACATGTCATATTTTATATAATAAAGTATAAAATTAGTTAAATCCTAGCTAAGCCGTCCTATATTTGTCTCCTTTATGTGCAGAGGCGGCGCTCCCTGGGGCAGGGGGCACTGTGCCCCCACTTTTTCAATTACCCACAAAGTGTCCCTTTTACTTTGACTATTGCCCCTAATACTTTGTAAAAGTGCCCCTTCTCCTTTTCACCTCTGATGAGTGCCCCTTTTATGTTGACACCTGCCCCTTTTCCTTCGACCAGTTCCCATTTTTATTTGCAATAAGTGTCCATATGCCATTCTCATATAGGTTCCCTTTTTAATATCTAGTAAGAGCGCCTTTTCAGGTACGAGAAGTGCCCCTTCTAACTTTTGGTAAGTGCCCCCATTCACCTCTGATAATTGCCCTATTCAAATCTGATAGGTGCCTCTTTTACTTCGACAAGTGCCCCTTTTCCTTTGTAAGAAGTGCCCCTCTCTCTTTTTAACTCGGATAAGCGCACCTTTTATGTTCACATGTGCACCTTTTCCTTTCTAAAAAATGCTTTTCCTTATGATAAGTGCCTAACCCCCATATAAAAAAGAGAGCCTCTTCCCCTTCTCGTTAGTACCCCTTTTCATCTCTGGTAAATAACCCTTTTCAGGTTCGAGAAGTAGTATTCCTTTTCACCTCAGATAAATGCCCCCTTCACCTCCGATAATTGTCCCTATTCAAATCTGAGAGATGCTCTTTTTACTTTGACCAGTGTCCCTTCCCCTCCTGATAGGTGCTCTTTTCATCTCCGATGAGTGCCCCTTCTCAACTTTAATAAATGCCCCTTTTATTTTGACACGTGCCCTGCTTATTTCAAAAGGTGCCTCTCTTTCTTTTTAATATAAGGAGCCACTTCCCCCTTCTCATAAAAGCCCCGCTTCACCTCTGATAAATATGCCTATTAAAATCTGATAGATGCCCCTTTTCTTTCAACAAATGCACATTTTCCTTTATAATAAGTGCCCCTTTTCATATCTGGTCAGTGCCCTTTTTCACCTCTGATAATTTCCCTTTTAACAATGGTACATGCCTCTTTCCTTTCTAATAAGGGACCTATCCCCATTTCATAATTGCCCTTTTTCACCCCTGAAAAATGCCTTTATCAAAAGCCGATGGGTGCCCCTTTTCCCTCGACAAATGCCCATTTGCCATTCTCATAAGTGCCCCTTTTCATCTCTGTTGAGTGCCTCTTTTCAGGTGTAAGAAATCTCCCATTTTCACCTCATAAGTGTACTTTGACACCGTTGTTCCTTTTCTTTTCTAATAAGTGTCTGTATCCCTTGCGATAAGTGTCCCCTTGTCAATTTCCACCAACTTCGCTCGCTATATATACGCTCGCTCGCATTATGATAGATGATATAATCGTGTTTAAGCACATTCTCATTATGAGAATGTGCTTATAAATAATCCCATCAGGATTGGGGTTTTTCCTCTTTCGCTCGCAAAAGAATATTCAGACCATCACACCAACTGCAAAGATATGATGCATAACAAAATCTTGTATGAGTATAGAGAAATAAAAAGTGAAATCATTCTTGATAATGTAATCACTGTTTATAGGGATATATACCAATGTATACCAACAAATGTATATTTTCACGTTGAGAATTCCCTTTGTAGGTGCCCTTTTTCCAGAAAGTGCCTTTTTTCGTTGGTGCCCCCCCCCCCTCCCCCACTTTGGAAGTCGCTCCACCGTCTCTGTTTATAGGGATTCCTAAAGTGCCCAATTGAAGTTGATGATGATTCGGAAAGATTTTTTTTCTCCCTCAATATGGGGCTCAAGGTGATTAGTCGACGACATTCGTGTTGTTTCCCATCAAGTTTGCAATAATCTTCAGTTAATTTGAAGGAGGCAGACTTAATCAGAAGAAGAAGAAGAATTCGAATTCGAATTCGAAGTTGGCCGAAAAGAATCGGACGAGTCTAAAAATGATATTAACATTTATGACGTCACAAACCTCATGCTAGCCTTTTACCAAGACTCATACAGAAAAAATATATGTGGACGTACTTTGGACGTACTCTACTTGTTCATGTCAAGGTCAACGATATCACTGAAAATTATTTTTTGGAATTAAATAAATTATATTAAATGTTCATTAGTGAAAATTGAAATCTTTAGAAGGTATGTAATAACCTGTTGGTAAAAAATATTTTGAAAAAATATTAGTTAAGTTTTGTACGATGTAGTATTTGACGTCACGAAAAAAGCTGAAGATAACAAGAGATTTGGTGTTGTGAAGGTGCTGGGCATTCATGCACTTTGAGAAATTATAGCTTACTTCAGTCTGCACAATATTGACCGAAGATTGAGTGTATGCAGTTTGTGTACAACTTATATGGCTACTCTTTAGAACTGCGTCAATCTCTCTCCCTGTGCCGAAAGACAATTTGATAAACTTGGTGAAAACTTTCGTTGTCAGGCCAAGTAAGGACACTTTGACGTCTCCTATCGAGAACCTAATACCACAGGAGGAAAAAATGGCATCGCACATGGAAGACGAGCAGAGTTTGAAAGAATGCGAGGCGTATGTTCAGAAGCACAACATCCAGCAATTGCTGAAAGATTCGATCGTGCAACTCTGCATCCATCGCCCTGAGGAACCGGTCAACTTTTTGTGGGAGTACTTTGGAAAACTGAACACGGTAAATAGCAAAATAATGCAAACAAAAACACAACAAAATATATTATATTTAGTCTAGACTAGATCTAATGCAAATGAAAAATTATGATATTGAAGTAGAATGAAGAATTGGGATGATTTATGTTGGCTGATTATTTTTGATAAACACCCTGACAAATGTCAATCATGAACATGATGAAATTGATTGATTGAATGAATGTTCAATGAGTACATTGTAGGCTAGACCGGCATCACCCAGGGCTGGGGAGTAGGGCTAGGGCTATAGATCTAGGCCTAGATCTATATTGAATTAATAATTATGATTAGTCTAGTCTAGGTCTATGAAGTATTAACGTAAGCAGTGATTGTGTGAACGATGCATGAATTGTGAGTAGGTGAGTAGGGCTTGCGGCGCTTGGTCCGAGAATGAAGATCGTCCGCATAACTCAGCGATACAGTAGGGGCGCTGGTCCGAGAATAAAAATTGCCCGCATAAACATGATATATGTGGATCATCTTAGTAAACACGGACAATGGGTCCGAAAAATAAGGATCGTCCGCATTTTCGCTGACATGACATGACATGTGCAATCCTAAAGAAATGTTTCCTTGCTATTGCATTGTCCGAAGCTCCGACGTAGACGCAATCCCCAGTACATACAGACATTAATCCTGCTGCAGAGGGGCATATACAGTGTAAGTAATTATACTTGAAGCCCAACATCAAGGTAAATCAAGGTAAATCAAGGTAATGATTCTAATTTTCGATCCGCTCGTTGGCCATGCGAAAATCTTATTCCGCAATGATTTTCTTGATGTATTTCACATTGACTTTGTACAGAGACTTTCACGTTAGATGAGCGATAAATCCTTGGGAAGACGGACAACCCATGAACGTAGACGGTCCGCGGACGATCCTTATTTTTTTAGGATGCCATTTGTCTGCGTTTACGAAGATATCCTTGTTTATGCGGATGAACTTCATTCTTGAACCAGCGCCCCTACTGATACTGCGAGTGATCCTTATTTTTTAGGACGCGATTTGTTCGCGTTTAAAGATGAAGTTGAGTTCTTGCCATACGATTGCATTGTGACAGAAACGTGGAAAACATCAGAAAAGTTGAACATCTAGCATTGGTGTGTACTGCAATATTTTGGGATCATCAAAATGATAAGATATTTGGCCCAGTCTTGGTAAAGTTACAAGCACTGTACACAGAAAGATGAAAATGGGACTACACAAAAATGTGGCATAAAAATCTGTCCTGATTTTTATGACTATAGGGCCCCGCTCACAAGCATAGCTTCCCCAGGGTTCCTAAAACCATTCATTTAATGATTTAATCAAGTTAGTATACATGTTGATTAATGTACTATCACCATATTACCAGTCTCTTTTTTATGAAAAAGATTATATCATGTTTTGTGTGGGTTTTGAATAAATGAACTTGAACTTGAACTTGTTGTTACAATACATGCCATAGTCAGAACAACGAGTAAAAGTAGACTGTGAGCTGGGAGTATCTTATGACAAGCAATCCGTTTTTCGCATTGCCAAGGCATAGAGAGGTAACCCTACACACCCAGAGCGCCGAAGTAAAAAGACGTTCGCGGAAACGTTATCTTTCTTACCTGTTTCGTGTCAATTGTCTTTTTTTGAGTATTTTTCCTAAAAAGGAAGACATTAGAGGTAACATTTTTTAACAGCTTTCATGGCAAACCACTGCACACACGTTTCATGACCATCTTACATTTGAAATCAGAAATTTAAAAAAAAGGAAAAATATGAGTTATAATCCTTAAATTGGCTTTAAAAAATCAATCATAATGTTTAACTTTTTATTACTGCTCATGTGTATGTAGGTACATGTATATCGTTTTCAGAGACATAACATTTTATTAGTACTTGTACATGTACATGTATGTACAGTGTAGCAATAAAAGAATTTTTTTATTGTTGCCAATTTGAAGGACAGTACATGAACAACATGTAGAGGTATGTCATAAATTTAGCCCTAAAAATAATCCTGTCTAGAAAGTTTGAAATGGATGTGACGTACATGAACAGTTTGTGTATACTCTAGGCCTAAATGTAGATGTGTACGCATGTAATTTTGAAATCATCTTTATAAAGATAATAAACTTTAGAAGAGGAATACAGAGCAAGTACGGTAGATTTACAGTGTACAGGAACATGTAAGACTTTTGTAGCTACATGTATACATGTACATGTACCTGTAGTGTACAGTTGCATGCATCTTTAATAAGCTGTTGGTGTCAAGACAGATAATCCTCATGTGCATAATGCTCTCGAGATAACATGCAGGACTACATCTAGACTACACATACATGAAATGAAATGTCGCTGAGGTTGTGCAAGCTCATATTACTTTAAGTACAGGGCAACAGAGATGGCATACATGTATATACACATGTAGATCAAATGTATTCTTTATTACTTTGTTCCTGTGATTTTAAATCTTTTGATTATAAATACATCAATTTTTCCAGATTTATTGGAAAATGTGTACATGTATGATCTACATGTACATGTACATGTATCTACAATGTGTGCACAAAATGCTGATATTAAAATTCACTTAATGATTGCAGTATTGCACAGTGCACATTTACATGTAGACCTACAATATAAGCACGCACACAGAAATTGCAATCCTTCCTTGCCCAATTTCATCTGCAATTCTGCATCATGATGCATTAGGAATACATGAGCTGTGATCTTCCCAATCCTGCTTGTAGTTGGCAATGGTCTTATCATGCATAGAATTATTATGATGAATTATGAATGCATGTCAAACAGTGAGTTGCAATTTAAACGAGCCTTACAGTACATGTACATGTATGTTGATTGTACAACTGGGCCCCATCTTATAAAGAAAGTCCTCCAACCAATTGCAAGATTGCAGTCTCCTATCTCTTACAGTACATGTACAATATGTACATGTACATACAGTATGTAGCTGCAATTGATATCAATCACGAATAAGTCATGATTTATATCAACTCTGTATATACGACTGGGCCCCAGGATAAGTCATATTGGTTCACTGGAAGACGGATAATGTGCCTAATGCTACATAAAGTGCTTTAAATTGTGATGTTATTATTATCCAGTCATTGGATTCATTTGAATTCAATTCATGTGACGGTGCACACGCTCCACTCCCTGGGGAATATTCTGACCAGGCACCATTTTACAAGTGCACACATGCCTATCCACCCACATTAACATTCACATCCTACCAGGTACCCATTTAACACCTGGGTAGAGAGTGGCAAATTTAGATTAATGTCTTGCCAAAGAACATTAGTGCTGCGGCAGGATTGGAACCACAAACCATGTGATCCACTGGTCCACAATACCTCTACTGGTGTATGCCTGAGAAAATGTCATCTAAAGCAGCGTGTACATGTAATTACACTCTGCAAAAAAAGGAAGTGGACACTCATTAATTTTCTTATACCTTAACTCATCGGTAACCCTGTAAGTTGGGCTTTGATCGGATTGGAAAATCAGAGCGACACCCTCGCATCTGTGATCGGTATCGGCAAAAATAATTGGTGAAAAAAATTGGCAGAATTTAAAAAAATAAATAAAAAAATTGTAATGCTGAAAATTTTCAAGTTTTGGGCTATCATATGCTTTAAAAAAATCATAGCTGGGAATATTTTTGTCATTTGGAGTTGTTGTAGGCCATGTTTGTTGATATTTGGTGCCTTTTCATGACTTTGAAATTAATAATATTGGTCTAAGAGAAGAGGCAAAACATGCGGGCCGCCATCTTGGATTATAATGTAGGCATGCATTATCGGCCCCCGATCCGATGATCGGTTACAGGCCTACTCATCAGTAGAATATAAAAAGATATAAATCAAAGAAAAAGAAAATGATTATTCTACCAACATAAATTAAGATAGAGCCAGGGTAATAATATGATTGCAGGCCCCTCAGGGAGAAGAGTATGAATACTAATGAGGCTTCCCTGGGTAAACAAGACATATTATTATTATCATAAGATAAGATCATATCAAATTTGGCCCAGTCTTGGTAAAGTAACAAGCACTGTACACAGAGAGAATAAGAGATGTACATGTGGGACTACACAAATGGTGTCGGGCCTTCTTACACCTTGATTTCCTTATCTTTCTATGCTTATCAGGGAATAATTTTCCTCAAATTTTTTGATTAGCAATTTCAGCCGATGGATAAATATTTCAAATGCAATTCTGTACATTTCTATGGAAGAAAACTGCTACACAAAAGATATTTTGTATAGCAGTCATGCAAAAATGCATAGCAAATTGCGATGCGATACCAGGAAAATTATTCCCTGCTTATTACTCAGCCAGTATACATTTTCTACCAAAATTGTTTGGCAAATGACATTTATTTGTAATCTTGAACATTCAGTGTAAGTTTCGTTTGATTCTGTGAGAATTCATTTTCTTATTTTACCAGAACTCAAGTTTGTCTTTAAAAGTTATAGAAATACCTGGTAACATCCTAGTTAAAGTTAGTGTACTTTGTAGTTCTCTTTTCACAAGAGAACTCTTTTTGTTTATCATCATTATGGGTCTTGTTTGAGACAAAACTGTAAACAGAGCAGGAAGCACATTTTGTGAAAATACTTCATGTGTTTTGTTTAAGAACAGATACAGGCATTAGACATACATCTACATGTTCATGTCTAGTTTATCTACACTGTACATGTAGAGTACCATACTCACTACAGAGCAAAGCAGGAATGCAGCATTGTGCTTTCCTTAGTCACAAGAGGGCGCCAGACAAGCAATACCCACATCAAGCTCTTTATAAAGGACCGAGCTGGAGCCTGGAGGGGGAACGGAAGCTGCAATATGGCAGGTTGTAGGCAGATCCCGATTTAATTGAAAAATTTTCAGGCATGGGCTGATTTGTCTGCGGATATCGCTTGCAGCACTGCATGCCATACACACATGTTCAGTGTGTGTGGTATTTATTAGGTGTCTCGGGTCAAGTGT